ATTTTTTTTGCTTGAAAGAGTAAATTTTGTCTTTTGTCAGAGATCCTGCTGTTTTTGTAAAAGTCCAGAAACTAGGTGGTCCATGAAAAAATGGATATGAATAAATTAGATGCGGGTCTTTAAGCAGCATTATTAAAATTTTACTTGTAAATTGGGGGACAGAATAACAACCACTTAAACTCTGTGGAAGCTCTGAGCTATGCCTGATTTTCCTCCAATTATGACAACCTGTGTCTGTCAGCTCCTCGGAAAATCCCTCATTAACATGTTGACTTATATTTGTTTAATGAAAATAGAGACGTAGATAATAACTCCTGGTTGAGGGAGGAAAGCTGAAGAATGGTGATGTAAGTGACTTTCAGGGAGAGAATGACCTACAAAAGAGACAGTTACAACCAACGTATGCAGAAGATCATCTCTGAATGCACAGCATGTCAAATGTTGACACGAGAAAAGAGAAGCAGAAGGTCTCACTGGGTTCCCGGGGAACAGGAAACTGAGGCTACAGTTAACCAAAATTAGACGATAAAGATTGGAAAAACTTTGCCTGGTCCGATGAGTCACAAGTTCTGCTTGTGACTTTCATTCGACTGGGTCAGAATGTGGTGTAAACAACATAAAAGCATGGATCCATCCTGCCTTGTATCACCAATTTGGGCTGCTAGTAGTGGAGTAATGATGTGGGGAAGGTTTCCCTGTCAGGCTTTGGGCTGTTTAGCATTCAAATACCACAGCTGGTCTGAGTGTTGTTGCTGACCATGTCCATCCCTTAATGACCACAGTGTATATTATCTCTGCTTGCAGCAGAATAACTCACAAAGCTCAAAACTGCATTCAAATGTCTCCCACATTTGATCTATTAATCTCAATAGAATAGAGCACCAAAAGTGGCTCCAACCCAGTACTTGGATAATCTATCTAATGATTATTAATAACCATGTTATTTCACCTGAAGATGCAGTGCCTTACTCTTTCCTCATGTTTTTCTGCACACTATATATCCAGTGTGAGCTCGTGCATCTTGTATCTTGTAATTAAGTTCCTTCAGTAATCTGTAAGTGTTTATTTTGTCTACCCCCCACTTTTCATTTTATATAAACAGATTGGAGCAGCTCAAGATGGTAATGAGGCTGATTACTGCTGTTGTTTACTGGCAGCGTAAAGTGAAACGTGGTGGTGATAATGAGCCCCGACCAAGTGCTGAGAAAAAGCAGCACCAACTTTATTAATTCGAGACAAGAAAATGACACATAGGAAAGTACAACTTACAACTGGAAGTTTGTTGGGTAATTTTAGTGATACAGTCCAAATCTAGCCTGCAGACGTCACTTTATATGAGCAAGACAAAAACATTAGAATCAGAATCAGAATCAGAATCAGAAAGGGTTTTATTGCCAAATGTTGAGCAGGTTTACAACATTAGGAAATTGCTGCGGTGCTTCAGTGCAAACATACTGTCATAAATTGCGCTTAAATAGACATGAAAAAATAAAAGTAAGAATAAGAATTAAAAGTGCTACGTAGAAAGATACAGTATATGCATGAGATATACATGAGATATATACATGAGAATAAGAATTAAAAGTGCTACGTAGAAAGATATATACATGAGTGCAGGTGGTGATCAGTGCCAAAACATGGAATGATGCAGTGAACACAGCGTAGGGTCATGTGTTAGTGGCGGGTGCAGTCATATGGTTATTGTTCATGTGTCCAACAGCAGAGGGGAAGAAACTGTTCTTATGGCGAGAGGTTCTGGTGCGAAT